TTTGGTCTGTTTGTACGCCCAAACACCGCGTGCCTGCGACATTTTTCCAGGCGGTCTATCATCAGTGACTGGGGCGTTGACCGCCCGCACATGCGCACATGCGATCACAAACGCGGTATTTACCTTTTAATACCTATGATAAAACTGTGAAAGCGGCACAGACGTAAGTGATGGGGAGACTATCATGGCCCGTATTCACAAAACATCTTAAAGCTAAAAGTAACTACTAACTTGCCTATTTATTAGTGTCAGTCCTAAATGTAGGACTCCTAATTTTTTTTTTTGACCAAAACCAATTCACAAAGCCCCTTAGCGCTAAAAGTAGCACCTAAGTCTGGGAGAACTAAAGGGTAGTCTAGAGGACTCCTAAATCACTAAGACCACTTCACAAACCGTCGCCATGTCTTGGAAACATTGAACGAACGCTGAATTACTTAATGGGTACCGCCTCAGTCGGGAGGGAATAATGGTTGTTGTGGAGCTTGTAAGGGATGCAATAACATCTCCAACAAACCGAAACAATCCAATCATATATACGGTGAATTTTTTTCCCCTTTATGTCTTAGGCATTTACCGTCTAATTGACATTTGTATATTTATTACATGAATATAAGGTAATAAAACGGACTGTGTCGCTATGTGCTTAATTTTATTGACTGATTCAAAATACAGTACAGCTGTTTCAAACGCGCGCTTTTCAAATGACTGAACTGTGTATAATTCAAATACACTATTATATAGTACTGTACATAAAATTTACCTTTATGTAACTTCGCTGCTGTTTCTCGTTGGCTTGGTTTTATCAGTTTACCATAAGCTGTGATGAGTCTATATTTGTCATTGAAAGAAAATGACATTCTTTTTCCCGTGATGTTTTCTATGCACTCAGCATTAGCCTCGGGTACCTATAGCAAGAAGCAGACGGGCGGGTTACCCGCAAGGCAAAGTAGGGCGATCAAACTAAAGTTTAAAAAAAATACCGTAGCTGTAATTTTCTTACATATGTTGTAATTTTAAAAAAGACCAAAAACTACTTTAAACCTGTTTATTTTGTTACTATAAGCGGATGATTTAAACAGTATTTGTACATGCAGTAATGATTTTGTCCCACGCTTTTTGGTAATTATAATCGGTTGCTCACTATAACCATGATCACTATAAGTGGTTCCCACTGTATTTGTGTTTATGGGATGTTGCGCGTCCATTTTCACCAGCACATACTGGACTCATCAACCACCCCCCGTGGTTATTTCAGGCAAGCTCGTGCATGAGAACTGACGTCAGCCATTGCGACGGAGTCTTGCACTTAGGAAAAAAGCCGACTCCTAAGCTAACTACTAAGTGCTTAGGAGTCGGCTTTTTTCCTAACTAAAAGTTGCTCTCAGCCACTTTGTGAATAGGTTTTAGGAAAAAACTCTTAGTTAAAAACTTTTTGTGTGATTTAGGAGTACTCTTAGTGGTAAGATAAAAACCTTGTGAATATGGGCCCCGGTCATTCAAAATAAAACCCTGCAGCCTCCAACATTCAATAAAATGGAATTACATTTTTTTACTCTTTCTGTGCAGCCCAGTGGTTGAGGATTGCTATTCTAGAACATTTAAATAAAATTAATCAAGTAATAGTTTTAGGTGTGATTAAAATAGAATCTTTGAGTTATTAAGATTAAAGTTGAACAACATGTCTTGATGGGAGCTCCTAGCTGGTCGAAGACTCAAAGCTGAAGGTCTTTGGGCTAGAGAAGCAGCTTTCCATCACGTTGGAACAATGATGTGGGAGATCTGGCAGAAATGGTGAGTGTGGCTAAGATTGTGTGACTCACACCCTGGGGGGATGGGTAACTTACACCAAACAAGGTTCAGATGTTGACTGTAACTGTGCATGATTGGAAAAAATTGACAGCAGTGACACTGGTCTGGTAGCACTAACAGGTGAATGAGCTCAGCATAGAGTGGGCATCTATCATCCATCCATCTGTTTATCCTGTGCAGGGTTCATGGAGGGACCTGCTCAGGCAGGGGAACAGAGGAGGGAGCCTTCAAATTCCACACACACAGAGCAAATTCGCAATTTTAAACCCCGGCCCCGGAGGTGTGAGTTAGCAGTACTACACCATCAGCCACAAAGTCGTTCTGCGAAGGGGGTAGATGTACAAAAACCATAAATTTGTTCCGCCTCTGCCCGAGGAGGATGCATTAATCAGCCTGGTTCTCCTTAATAACCAGGACGGCGAAAGCAGCACCAAGGTGACAGAACCTGTGGCTGACCGTGACCAAAACACAGCAGCTTCTCATAATTACTTTTGCTTCTGCTTTCCTTGCCACCCTCCTCCATGTAATTGAGGGTTTAAGTTCCCTAAACACGATGGTGGACGGCTAGTGACCGCAATCCTCTCGGAAAACAAGCTCCTTCATTACTGGAGGCTTTACGCTACGTGCCTTCCTCACACGTATCGACCGTGACCCACCGAAAGCATGGAGGGTTTCTACGCAATGTGCCAATGATCTTGGCAGCAGTTTTCGTTATGTTTGATTAGTGTGCGCGGCTCTGTGTTCTCAGTGGCGAACGGAGCAGCCGTGCACGCTGATGAAACAAGCTGAGCACTCCCTCTGCACGAGTGGCTGGCTGGACCTGCAGAAATCAAATGGTTTAAAACAGTGTTTCCCAACCCAGTCCTCGGGGAACCCCGGACAGTCCACGTTTTTGCTCCCTCCCAGCTCCCAGCCAATCAGGAACACTGAATACCTGGTACAGGCGCGCTGGGAGCTGAGAGGAAGCAAAAACGTGGACTGGGTTGGGAAACACTGGTTTAAAACTGGTCCACAGGGATCCACAATACAGAATGTTTGGCAGGGAGCTAAAACATGGATCATTTGTGGGTTCCCGAGGACCGGGTTGGGAAACAGTGGTCTAGAAGAAAGTCTGACTCGTGATGCTGCAGCCACAGAGAGGAGCCTTGCCAAAATTTTTATTAGTTATACGAAGGCCATGGAGACAGATGCCTTACATGCATTTTGCACTTATGAGGAAGCCTGTGTTCTGACATAACAATGGCATAGTAAACTACAAGGCTTTTTATGTTAAAGTGAAATTAACTCCAGAAAAGTTGGTAAATTTAGGGTGTGATGTAAATGGTACATATGACTTATATTCGACTCCAAATCTAAATTTGACTGCTTATGTTGAGGAAAGGATCACAAGTTGAATGCAGGCCAGTTAAAATGTAATGGCAGTTGATAATGATCAAAAACAAAACAAAACAAACAAAAAAATCTCCTACTGATGCTTAGTGGTAATATCTGTGGTAAAAACTCAAGACAGGCAGAATCACATCCCTTACAGAACCGGAGTTATGATTAAAAAGGTTGCCGGTGTTATCTTCCAGTATATGATCAGTTGTTATATAGTTATATAAATGTGCGGACACACGGTTCAGTTCAGTGACAAGCACTTATTAAACACAGGAGAGGATGTGTGGAATAACTCACAAAAGTAATGTAGATTCAGTCCACATCACACCCCATATCTGATGTATCCAGACATCAGATGATCACTCGGAGAAGCCCAGAAGGCAAACGCTCTGCTTTTAGATTAAAATGTGAATGTGTCCATCTCGATTTATGGAGCTGCTGAACATTTTTATTCAGACAAATAAGACGCTATGAACTGACCTAAGCCAGGCCATTAATCTGGAGCTGTTATTTACGGCTTTGAAACACTTTAAAAAGGGCCCTTGAGGAGACTCTTCTCCCAGATCTGTCTGTTATTTTTACATTCTGGGCCTTAATAGGTCATCTTATCATCTCTAGCTCAAAGGTTGTTTTTATAATAGCTCAAATAGTGCATCACTTGCCACTGCCTAAGAAAGTGAAAAGCCTTTAGTCAAAATACGAAACTATCCAGAAAGAGTTCAGGTTTTTCAGTTTGCAGGGCCCAGCTCAGCCAATCAGGCTTCATTTGGCAGATGCTGATCGGGTACTTTATGTGCAGAAATAATCTTAGACACAAACTCAGCTTCTCACTGGAGAGACTCAGCCTGGCGGGAATCTTCTGTGCTGTGGTTGTGCGCCATGGTTGCCAAAGCTTCAGCCATGGTCTCCAAGAGCAATCCAAGCTCTCCTTCCTCCGGCACAAAGCTCCTTCATTTACACCTTTGCAGACTTTCGAACTATACGCTGAGAACTGAATCATTACTCAGCCCCAGGCGTCATCTTTTCGTGACGCCATGTATGGGGTAGATATCATCTAATACACTGTCATTACCCTTAACAGCCTTGAAATATCCAGATTTCAGATTCAGTGTAAGATTCAGTTTTTGTACAGAGATGCAAAAAGGGTCCTTGATAGTTATATCACATCAGTATTAGCATATAATAATGACACTTTATTGATCGCTGTGGGGAAATTCTCTTTTCGCCTACCCTGTCTTGCTCTCCATGACACACACGTAGGGGAGGCAAGCTTGCCAGTGAAGGGCAGCCACCTGCAGCAGCGCCCATGGAGCTGGGGGTTAAGGGCCTCGCTCAAGGGCCCACAGACGTGACTATACTGCAGAGGCTGGGATCAAACCGGCAACCTTCCAATCACAGGCACGGAGGAATAGCCTGCTGAGCCAAACACTCTCCTAATCATAGTTACCCTTTATACATTTGTCATAATTAAGATATAGAGTGGATCTCAAGTAGAGCAAGTCAGACTAGTGTGTACTCAATGGGCTAGGGCCCTGTGCCCAGGAGGAGAGCCTGTGTGTTTTCAAACACACTTATCGTTTCCGTTCACCAGCTCGCAGGGCAAGCCAACGGGCCAAGATCTCAGAGCCTGCGAAATTAGAAATTTCAGAAATTAGCCATAACTGGTAACTGTTCCACAACTCTCACTTATCACATTAAACAGCGTTTCAGTCTCAAACTCCAGAACTCCAATTAGAGAGAGAATTAATGGTTTATAGAAAAAAAGGCATCGATATGTATTTTACTCAAAAAATTAGAGATGGAGGACCATATATTGGTACTCGATAATTTATTGAAAAGGATGTACAACACAAATCCACACCACTTTTAAGTTTTAATGGCATTTTAAACCTCCTTTTTATACATACATACATAGAATGTTTTTGTCCTTCTCAAAAAATAAATCATGCAATAAAAAAAATGCCTGGCAGTTTATGTTCAGGATAAAACCCTTTCACAGCCAACAGATTCCACTTTCAGAGCCCTTTCCTTGTAAAACAAAAAACACTATGCACAATCTAATAAAAATTATTATTAGAAAACAATGATAAAAATCTCTGAACAGTCTAACATCTCGATGTTGGGTAACTATTCACATCGCATCAGTTTAAAGACCGCCTACCTTCCTGTTCCTTCACTACAGAACATGAACCCGCTGAATGGTGCCATTTCAGTCGTTCTTTTGCACCAAGCGGATGAAAGCTTGAATGGGAACATCATCAACAGCACACAGTAAACTGAAGCCTTATTTTTAATTAAGGCATAAGACAACAATCTTTGCCGGACCCCATACTGCTGTGTGTCCACCAGGGGCTGCCTTCGTAAACTACTGATCAAAAAACAACAAAATTAAAAGCTATCCCCCCTCCCCCCAAACTAATAAAAGGAACTTCCAAAGTCTATTATCCAGAACCAATTTACTCGACCACTCTGTGCATTCAGTACATCGGCCAGCACGATACCGAACTCCCACCGATCTGCCCTCTCAGAAGGGGCCAACTGTGTTTTCAGTTACACCTGGAACGAAGCCTTCTAGGTCTGAAGAACCTGGACCAGAGTCTCCATTGCCCCCTTCAAACCACTGGGCAGGCTGCCTGTGCCCAAGCTTCTCATTTCAGGCATATAGCACCAACCGTGCCGCAGATGGCACATCAACCCAGCTTAAAAGCTGCCCGTCTTACCAGACGACCTGGCGTCCCATGCGACTAACGAGAAGACGTGGGTGCATGACTATGGCCTGTTACGGCCCAAACGAGTCGCTGAAAGTGCACTGATCGCCTCAAATCGGAGCCCAAACCTAAATTTCAAGGCACTGTTATCAGTTTCATTAGATATCTTCTCCCTCTAAAAACAGCACCCCCACATCACACCTGCCAACACACATTCTCAAGGTGCCCAGACACGTACCACGCCTGCCGGGAGCAGTGTGGGAACTGGCAGTGATTCCCAGCCTATCACTGCACCAGTGAACCTCACATGCCATAGCTATACTTCCTACTACAAATCAGATTTCTATGAATCCTGAAACTTTTCCATTCCGACCAAAAGTGACCATACCAGTGGCCCTAAACTGCACACCCAGAGTTCGATGCATGCTTTGGCCTGCTATCAGCGGCTGGCTCGCTACACAGGAAGCTCCACGTGAAGCACGGGCAGTCAGTCCCTCGTCAGCAAGTGGGGTCGCGAGCCTGCTGCTAATTACACATTCAGAACATCTGGCTGATAGAGGCCCAGGAGAAAAAAAAAGAAAAACCTCGTTAACGTATGAGGAGCATGACGACAGGAATTTAGTTTTTGTTTTCTTTCTACAAGATTCTATCCTTTTTTTTTTATGAAAACATTTATTATATAAAAGGTCACAAGCCTCCTAAAGCAGAACTAGGCTGAATGTGGCAAAGGGAGTTCGGAGACGAACGTTTATTCGTGATTATTTACAGTCAAACGTCCACCTCTGTGCCTGCCCTGCTGTCCCTGTCGGCCTTTGGGGGGAGGTCTGATGGCAGGGTCTTTACACCGTGTGCCACACTCACCGGCCAGAAGAGGGAGCCACTACGCAGGACATGTTTTTCCTTTTTAATCCAATTAAGACTGTGCAAAAATAAGAACTGACTTTGGTAAAAAAAAAATCAGTTTAGAGGGAATAGAGACCTGCAAAGGCGCCTGTGCCCAAGGTGCACACCATACCACACCTTTCTGAAAGCAGTGTGCAATAACGAAGATCAGAGTCAGGGATCCCTGATAGAGTGAACTCTGACCACACAGTAGGGGGGGGCTGGAGTGGGGAATGGGGGTGTTCTGCTTTGAAATGCTGCACTTGTGGGTAGAGATACCTTATAGAGGATAGAAAAGACTGAAGAGCAGGGAGGATGGGTGTGATTTAACATCCCCCTACTCCACCTGCAGGGGTTGCTGTTGAGTTTGTTAGAGATTTGCCTTTATGTCGCTGGCCGCCTCTTCTTCTGCCTCCACCTCCTGACTTTGGCTGAAAAAGAGGAAGGAGCAGGATAAAATTACACAGTGTCAGTGTCTATACCACTTAAGGCTGGTTCATTCTTCTCCGCACAAGGGCAACACTTACGTTCACACTCTGCATACGTGCACACGGAAACGATTATAGTTCTTGGATCAAGCTGCATACTTTGCACAAGCGTACAATGTGTTATATTTATATTAATAATTATTATTATGATATTCCCTGCACATGTATCACAGGTGAGGTCTGTTTCCATTTCACTGTTTTACAAATTCAGAGAGGCCGCCCACAGGGTTGGCAACTTTGGTCAGCTGACTGGCGTGAGATTTTCAATTCAATTCAAGTCTGCACTCACGTGTATGTGACCGTTTTATTACCTTGTAAATGGTCTCTAGGGTTTGCAAGCTACAAACACTCGCCAAAAGCATTCGTACTGGTATTTAAAGTGGACGCTAGCAAATCAATCATGCGCAGCGTGTCCAGACCTGTACGCCGCTGCGCAGACACAAATTTGGAGTGCAGCCAGTGTCTGTCATCAAACGCGTCATAAACATTCGAGTGGACATCTGCTAGTACACATGTGGAGATGTTTGGACCAGCCTTTCTTCACCAAACACTTAAAATCGGACTGAAACTACAGTGACCCAGGCAAACTGGCAGCATTTAATGCTCAAGGTTCCTGTCTAAATTTAGGACTCAAGTAACAACATTTCTGAACAAACAACCAAGCACAAAACTCAGAGTATTATATAATTATTCAAAAGACAATTTAACTTTAGCATTGTATGGAAAAAAAGCCCATAATGCTTTGCAAAAGTTTTAAAATGTTTCTGCACTACTGAAATTTTGTCACACAGCACTGGCCAAGGTCAGTGTCAAGAAAGCAACCTGCCATCATTTCCCATAAGCCACTGCCAGTTCCTGGATGTCTCCCAGAGCCAATCACAAAGCATCTTGGCAGGAAACATGGAGGTTTGGCATATGGGCTGACATCCATAATAGATTAACTTAGGCACACTTGTTTGTCCTTTACCTTGTTCTCTTTGTTGCCATCTTTAGTCTGTGAATCTTCCTCCAGCACTGCCTAACGTGCCAAGCCACGAGACGCGGAAGCACGAAGGCAAAGTGGTGTATTGGGAAGAGAGTAAGACGAGATGGGGCGTGGGAAAAGTTACAAAAAAAATATGGAAACGAAGGAAAAACAAAAATGTGAATATGGCAAAGGCCAAAGAAAATGGATATGAAAGTGGGTGGGAAAATAATGAATAAGATGTATGGTTTTATGGGTGGGGGGAGGGGAGAGAGACAGATTAACCAGCAGGTTGGAACTGACAGAAGGAGCTGCAGGCGAGATAAGAAGCCGCTGGCCTCCGGTGATTTGGCTTCCGTCTCTGGCGGGAGACGGGGGTCTGACCAGCGCTCACAGCGAACCGTGTGCACGGCCGTGGCACTGACAGAGGGGGGCGCCAGTGAGCTTAAGCTGTCAGGCCCCACCCATCACACCTCAAAAGTCTGCCCTCCCCCTGTGCGAAAACCCCCATCTCTCTCTCTCAAGTCACCTTATTTCTCTGCCGTTTTAGGTTTTCTTCGTGGCAGCTGACTAGTCAAAAGAACATTTATCTAGTTTAAATCTCATCTCTCCTGGCCTGACTCCGCCCCCTCTCACCTGCTGCTGTGTGGAGTGTGGACTGGCTGGCCGCCCCTGAGGGCCCAGCTCCTCATTGGCTGCTGCCGAGCTGTCCTCCCGGCGAGGCGGAGCTTTCTTCACTGACTGCATCTTCATTTGTGGCGGCTTGGCATTGGAGGGCAGGTTATTGGTCGATTGCAGCAGCTGTCTCAGAAGACAAGTATCTATTAGGGTGTCTGAGACTGCTGCAGGACGTGCTGCAAACCTAATTTGTGACTATCCAGTTTTCTGCACAGCATGAGCATGGGAGAATAAGCCTAGCCGGCAAGGATTCGAATAAGCATCAACCAGCAGTGAGTAACCAGCTGGCTTAGCCCCATCTACTGGCAAGAAAGGGGAGTGCAGCACTCGCTCACAATCATAGAATCCCCCCCCAAAAAAAAGACTTTAGCTAAATAACACTGGTTAATCAGAAAAGCAATTACAGCTTTTCATTGATCAGCTGCTGTATATCAGAGAATTACGTTATTTAGTGCTGGATATTAAAAAGAAGACAATTTATAAAATGGTCAAATTCCTTTAACTGGTGATTGTAAAAAGAAAATACAGTTTGAAAGCCTCATTCCAGAGTGTCCATTATCACTTTATTGCCAGCATTCATAGCCAGTCCCCCTAACCTTGGTGATGGTGCCCACAGCCTTGGTCCTGCCTTCCCTGAAGACCAGCCTCTGTTCCGTGTGCAGGTACTCGGGGGTCTTAATGAAGCGGAAGTGCACGGTGGCCTTGTCTCCTGTCCTCAGACAGTCTCTGTTCATGCTTAGGATAGTTGCTGTCTGCCTGATGCTCCCACAGTGCACTGGGACCCACAGAACACAAAAAGAGTTCATTAGCAGGGTGACAGAAATTGACACTATACCAAGAAACAAGGGCACATAAAGATGAGATACAGCTGATGAGTGTAGTGGATGGTGCCCCCCCCCCCCCCATCTGGTATGCGAGTGTGGCTGGAGTTTTGTCCATGTAAGTAGCATAGCCTAGCATTAGCATAACATAGTGTAGCGTAGCATCAGCCTAGCCAAGTGACCCCACCACAGCATAACCGTGCTCACCCATGGCCTGGTATCTCGGTGAGATGGTGGTCGGGTGATGCAGCACCAGAATCTCTGCCTCAAACTCCCACGAGGCCTGCGGGCTCAACTTGGGAGACACCATCACCATGCCCTTCCTGATGGACGAGCGCTTGATCTGACGGAAAAAGAGACAAGAACAAACACAGAGAAAAAAAATATGAAAATATGGAGGCATCGGAGAAACACGACGACGACCGTCAGGTGCGTCATGAGCAGACTGAAGAACAAACTACCCATTTCAACACAGTTTCTGCTGAAAAGCAAAGAACCACTATGGCCCCTGTGTCATTGGAAAAGCTCTCACAAGGACTATCTGGACGTTTTCAGTGAAAACAAGAAAAAAAGAAACATAACAGGCGACATCCTCTGTGTGCTGCATCACCCTCCTGTCACTGCTCCTACAGAAGCAGACGCAGGGGAATCATAAAGTGAGCTTAGTGTCATCACTGCAAGTTACCGAGCCGTACAGAGAACTGATTAGGCCGTGAGCTGTACCTCTAGGATGTCAGTGGAAAAATCCCCGGTACCTACATGGAATCTAAAAAGCGTAGTATTACTCTGTGAGGGATTATCAAGCACCTTAACTGGCAGAACTGCAATGCCCGGCTGCTCACAAACGCAACATCTGAACACAAGATTTCTCCTTTCCTAATGGAGCTCCGCTCTGTGTTCAGCTCAGTATATTAAGACCAACTTACCAATCTATACATATAGCTTAAATGGGCTCTTTGGGGATAATCAGTGGGTTTGTTATTCATCATAATGCAGACTGATTCCCTAATTCACAGTGAAAAAGATTTGAAAGTTTATCCAGCCAATGTTAAGTTCTTGTCATATTTAAGCTTCTCTCGTTTCCACCCACCCACCCCTCCATTCATCCATCCATCCATTTCTGGACAGCAAAGTGCATCGGGACGGGCCTCGATCTGGCTGGGATGCTACTATGTTTATTTTCCTAGTTACGCTTGAGCATCTAATCCCCCCTTTCATGTGCACAGAGTCTGGCTCGTGCATTATGTGTAATTCAGTGGCGAGTGACGGGGAAAGGAGGAAGGTGTCACATCTGACCTTCTTCAGGGCGAAAGAGGCCGTCTGACCCCCTCGGACCTCTGTCACCGGCATCCTCTTGCGGTGGATGGACTTGACTGCGATGGGGATGAAGTTTCCCAGGGGGTCTGGGCCCAGCAGCAGGATGTCGTTCAGCCGGATCAACCCGCGTAACGTCGTCCCAGACACCACGGTGCCCACGCCCTAGGAACCAACCAGCAGGACCTGGGTCACACTGACATCTCCATCACAGCGACTTATACAGGGACAGGGTCACATGGGCACTGCCCCTACTGAAACATGATTGGCCCCTGAAATGCCGCACCCCTGTCACTCACTGAATCAAAACATATCATTGGCTAATGAAAAGGCTGCCCCCTTTGTATATGACCATTTTTATAGGCCACACCTTATAAAAAAAATCATAGAATAAGCCCTGCTCCATTTTCACAACATACCAGTAAATTAAACTTTCAGTATGGCCTCCTGATTGAGAACAAAACATCATTACATCCATAGATTAGGTCTAAAGTGTCTTGTGACTATGTGGTGGACTTCAGGCCAGACTGGGCACCAGAGGGTTAATGAGCCGCGCTCGTTACCAGGTCGTCATACTCAAGGTGATACTGACCGGCACGGAGTACGTGTCATCAATCTGGAACTCGGCGGGCTCCTCGTCACTGTACGACGTCCTGGAGGACAGCAGGTTGAGGAACATCTTAAGCAGGTCCATGTTCTCGCCGGTCACATTGGAGATCTGGAAGATGGGACACATCCTGTGGGAAGAAATGAGGGTTACAGCAAAGGCCTGGCCCGAGGATGGAGAGAAGTTCAGAATGGTGGGCGAGATCTCAAAACTGGCTGAACGAGGGGGACCACCAGACCACGGACATCAGGAGACTTTCTGAGCTAAGTGGAAATGAGGAACACAGTTGTGGTCTTTTGACAACCTTTCAGAGCTGAAGTTGGACGCAGTGACGATGACGTCGTCCTTGTTCTGCACCAGAACGGGGATCTTCCTGCACCCTGGGGACTTCAGTAACCTCTGTAACAGCTTGAGAGTTTCTGTGAAGACACACACATGCGGAAACGTTCTCACAAACCCAGCCTGGGCAGAAACCATTCAGGGGACTCATGTAGGGATTAAAACCACCAAAATCGAGAGCAATCACCTTCTCACTACGCAGTTCAGCCAATATAATGTGACACAAAGCTACAGCAATACTCCAGGAGTTAAGCTAGTCGGATGAAGCCCATTTCTCATAATTTTCAATAAGGGCAGCAGATAATTCCAAACACAGCACCCAGATAACTGGCCACACAACAGTCATTCTCCATAAATAAGGCCAAAAATTTCATTGGCTTCAAAATAGTCACATGAACAGCTACTGCAAGACTAAAAGCTTAATGACCAAAGATCTTTTGGTTGCCTGGGGGTGTCTCTCTTGTTCTGAAAGGTAAATGGAAATGCTTAAATTCCCCCCCCAAAATTTTCCCAAGGCACTCAAGCACTCCATATAAGGTGTTTCCCTAGCCGAACTAATGCAGCTCTCTCCCACAACAGTGAAGGTGCCCGCGATTTAGGAAATGGGGAAACTAGCATGGAGAGCAGACTGGTAGCAGCAGGGCTGGGAAGATCCAGCCTATAGAGAAGCCTGATCACCTCTCAGGAAACAGAGCGTGTCTGACCGGCATCCGCTCAATCCCTCTCACCTTGGAGGATGTTGGCTGGGCACATGTCGATCTTAGTGACCACCACGAAAACGGGAACATTGAGAGCCAGGGCCAGGCCGAGGTGCTCCTTCGTCATTCCCACAATCCCTGCATTGCTTCCCACCTGCACACAAACGGAGCCAAACAGTCAGGGGATGGGGGGTCACCCCTTAATACCTGCCGTAACAGCTGTCCTGACTCACACCATACCACTAATGCAGACCAGAAGACAGCAGGAAATATTTCTTTACACAAGAGACATGCGAGGTTTGGACTACACTTCCCAGGAGCACAAGCAACCCCGAGTTCAGCTTCACATCAGCTGAACGGGCTTCAAATAAGATTAAATGTTAAAGCCAAATTAATAACACCGACTGAACAGCCATCAACCATCTGAAACAAATTATATTCTTTGGAGAGTAAGGAGAAGATGTAAATGGAGCGAAATTAATGTCAGGGAATCTCCATTTATAACGTGTGTGGTGTCAAAATGATGATAATGATGATGAAGGTTATGATGATGATGATGATGATGGTTATGCTCTCGTGCCTCACCATCAGCATGCAGAAGTCCGGCAGGTGGCCCGTCATGCCAAAGACTGTGGTCTTCAGGTACTTCTCGTGGCCAGCCAGGTCGATGAAGGTGATCACCTTAGATGACTTCTCGCAGATCTTGGTCCAGTCCAGGCTGCCGCCGTGACTGTCAGGCTTGTTGACCACCTGGCCCTCCTGGTCGAAGCCCAGGATGTCGTTGCCCACGCTGCTGGTGCGCCCGCTCTCCATCTCGTGCTTGTGGCGGAACAGCTTCTGGCGCGCGAAGCCACGCCCGTTATCCAGTTCGCCGTGCGTCAGCACACCCAACAGCGTGCTCTTGCCCGCGTCCACGTTGCCCACCACTGCCACCCTGTGAAGACACAGCGGCCTCCACTCTTACTCTGAAGGCTAAGGGAAGCCATCATGATGGCTCATCACTCAAACAGAAGTCTGCTGCATTACCAAACTGCTCCACACTGGGCCAGAAACTGCCGGAAGGCACCGTGACACCTTCAACCTCCTTGTGCTCGTCTCTAGGACCAGGTCCTCAAAGCCAGGCTGGAAATGCGGGCATTCTAGGTTACGATCCAGCCTACTAACCTAACAGCTCAGCTTCTCTATAACTATAATTTACAGTACTGTGCAGATGTGTCAAGCAGTGAAAGTAAATGTTTAAGGCCCACATGGGGCAGTGTGTGGCTCTGCAGGCTAAGCCTGTGTGCCTGTAACCACAAGGTCGCCAGTGCAAACCCAGCCTCAGCATGTCTGCAGGTCCATGAGCAAGGCCCTTAACCCCCCAGCTCCCTGGGCGCCCCTACAGGTGGCTGCCCTTCGCGGACAGCTGACTCTACAAAGTGCAAGTTGAGGGAGGCGTAAAGACACTTTATTGATCCCCGTGGGGAAATTATCAATTATTATTATTATCATAAACTTCTCGTGTGGGTTTATGAGTCTCATGAAAATTGCCTAGTAACCAACCGCTTCAACCAAACGTGCCGAAGTCGCCGAGGGTCAGGAGTAGTGAGCCAAAGCCACCGTGTGGCCGGGCAGGAACTCAGCACAAATACAATGGAGTATGGTATGCGGACGGGTACTGAAGGCAACATGGCTACAGACAGTCCATGGAAACAAGTGCACGTGAATTAAAAAGGGTTCTGTGTGTTTTATATGATAATTTGTAAAATATTTTTTGATTTTTATAATCTAAGACTGACTGGTGCAATGCATAGATGTACATCATGTTCAATTCATTTAGATTTGAAAACTCGTTCGGCCGATACACTGAAAAGAACCAGTTCAAAAGAACAATTCATTCCTAAATAGTAAAATCACCATCGTTCATTTGCATAGCAAGCAGTGTTTCTTACCAAGACCATATTGTGTCGTACTTTGCATTGTGCTTTTCTCTCCGACTTAAAATTGAGCAAATACAAATGCAACTCTGTATCACATTGTACTTGGGTACTAATATATCAGCCGCGTTAGAACAAATTTGCGGTGTAATATCGTGTGCTGTAACAGGACTGACGGTATTAGTTACATTTCTCCATCTGATCAATTCATTAATTAACTATTTCTTAACTCAATGAGGTGGGCAAGTAAAAAAAAAATGCACTGAAGTACTGAACAGTTGATTGAAATACTGGGGTAACTTTAGGAGAGGTTTTGAAATGGCTAAGCTGACTTTTGACAGTCATCAGTTTTACAACAACAGGAAGATCATTTAAACATTTTCGTTAAGACTTCCGCACAGTACTGTACATTAATCTGCTGTAATAAAGGGCAGGAGTGGATAATGAAAACATCAGGACACACCTCTCACGGAGTCACCTGTTCCCCTCTGTCCCACAGAGAGTTATGACCCCATAGACAGAAAGCTGAGGAATCAGCTGGAATTCCCTCACCTTCGCTGTCATTCATCCACGGTCATTATCTGCATCTTACCGCACCTGCTTGTTCATCAGGTGCCGGAACGCTGGACCAGTTACAGCTCAAACCCCGACCTGCCCTTCCTGCACTCACCTGACCTCCAGGAAGTCTGCCTCTCCCACTCTGCGGCGGATGAGGAAGTCGCGCACGCGGCCACCCGCCTCCGTCCGCTCGCGCAGCAGAATGAGGTCAGCGTCCAGCTGCTCAGTCAGCGACCGTACTGTGGCTACAGAGGCTTCCATGTCTGCCTCTGACAGACCGTAGTCTCCACCATCTGCGAGAGAGGGAAGGGGATCAGTGACAGGCAGCTAGCCGGCCAATCAGAGCTCAGTATAGGCTGCTCGCAGGTAGCCTGCCAATCAGAGCACAGCAGAGGCTGCTTGCTGACAGAGCTCTATTGCTCTGCACACAGATCAATCATAGGAACCTATCCACCCCCAAACTCACATCGACCAGTAAGAGACAAGACAAAGGTGAACAGATGCAACACTAAAGGGAGTGGAAAAACAAACCAGTGGGGAAAATGACTGACCCTCTGATCAGATGAAGCTGACAGAGGTCTGACACCCTCGAGATAATGTAATATTAAACAGGCACAGCTTTGCGTTAAACCAGAAGGTGCCATATGTGGGAGACGAACCAGGACAGAATCACACAGACTGTGGCAGTGTCACAGAGGTCCGGAAAGGCCTCAGAGTGCTGTTAGGTCAAGGAAAGGAGGCTTGTGTTGGAGCCCAGGAGGAGTTCTGCTTTTACAGTGGAAGTTAAGGTGGAGCTGAAAACCCACTGCCTCCACCCGAGATCAGCAGGGAGATACCAAGGAGTTTACTCTCCTGGCTGAGGCAGACAGAGCACCATGAAATATAATGGTGTGTTACCAAGCAAACAGCAGGAGCTTCAGGCAAATGGCCCTAAGCTGACATGTGTCCCTGTAAATACACACAGATTAGACACCTTTAAGGGGACTCTACAGTCATTTCTATGGGCATAACTAGGGCAACCTTAACCCCAACCCAGCCCTAACTTTAACCAAAAAGGAACCATTCTTAATTTTATGATTGCATTCACAGACATACGCACGCACGCACGCACGCACGCACACACACACACAGTGAGATTCACCACGTCCTCACTGGTTATGGCTCAGAGGCACGGTCAGGGTGGCTGGGAGGGCGTGGCGCCTGCCCCAGGTGTCCTTACCAGAGCCCACGCCCACCACATAGATGGTCTCCCCACAGCCCTCCTCCATGCGATCCCTCAGCTGCCGCAGGAGCGAGTCATACTGCGCCCCATTGGGGCTCACCAGAGCAAGCTGGACCGGGGGAAGAAGACAGACAGGCAGATGTCATTAATATGAGAAATTCTGTCAGTCGTCATCCATTTTTATACAAACTTTCCGGTTCGGTTTGCCTTTTTCCAACCTGCTGATTTACCCCCACAATTGTCTGCAGGTCCATTCCTGAAGACCGCCAGCTCTAAGGTAAATGCTCAACCCCTCTACCAGCCTGCCCATATATTTGCTCTAATCCACCACCTGCATGCTTGGCTGGAGAAGCATGAGGACCGGATTGAAAACTACCACGACCGCAGTAGACCACAGCCTCTATGCCTGGCTGCCCAGGGAGGTTAGCATTGAGAAGTACTGCAGAGGATCACAGCGGAGTTCAGAGACAAAGAGAGGCACCAGTGTCCTGCTTAAAACACCCCACAATCAGCATGAGTCACATCCCAGATGGCAACATTTGCAATCCCTGCTGAAATACTGTGTCTAAGAGATGAAACTACCACATACCAGAGCCCTATATGAAAGAAACATGACACCCAAACAGCCAGCAAGGTTAGGCCTGACTTGCATCAGGGATCCCAAATGTTTCATCAGTGTGAGTTCACAGGGCAACGCATGGCCATATTCAGTGGCACGCCCCTTAAATCTTGGCACGGGACTCTCTGATTGTCCCCTTACACAAAGTGACCAGCCATCTATTATCAAAGCAGATGACTGAGCAAGCAGATGTTTCTGAACAACAGTAAACACAACCCTTCCACAGGCACACAGACTAAAGGACTGAGCGGAAGTACGGCAGACAATCATTTAAAATCAATTATCTAAGTTTTTAAAGTAGCAAAATCAGCTCATTTCTAATTTATTCTTGCTGGGTGACCAAAGGGGGGATTTAATGATTAAACATTACAGACAAGAATAATTATTCAGGACATACAGCTTAAGCTGTGGACCCCACATATTTCAGCACAAGACACACATTCCCAGAAGGCTGGTCACAGGGTCACTTACTGTTTACACAGGAGCTGACGGACACAGTTATACTATTACTGGATTGTCAATCAAAACACCACAAGAACGTTCGTCACCCTAAAACTAGCACACACCACAGTTTGGTGGCCAGAGTTACACCTGCTCCAGTATAACTACTAGAAAATTCACAACCTCCAGGTAACGAGTGACCCTTTTCTTAAATAACACAACCCTTGTTTCATGCAAGCAAAAAAGCCAAGAATGGCAAACCGTAGGATGCCGTAGGATGTGCCACATCTCTGACTGAAGCTGCGTTTTCCCGGGCGGTGATACCTAAACTGACCCACTGGATGAGCATGTAGCCACATTCTTCCTAGATGTAGATGTCGTGAGCCGAATTTAGCAGTTCCACTTCATACAGACATTCCTATACATATCAGTTGAAACCACCACATAGCAGAGCCCTATATGAAAGACTGCCACTTAACGAAAAGTCCTGTAAACATGATGGCAAGCTTCAGAAGCGATGGCAAGCTTCAGAAGCAAAGGTGAGCTTCCTGAGAGCTTAAGAACCACGTCTCCGTTTACAGGATCCAGTACTGGCTTATCTGTCAAAAATCATAGACACGACATATGTATCACTTACTTAAGTCATCCACACAAACAGCCCAAGAGGTGCAAAGAGTTCAGTTAAAGCCATAAACCACTACGCTATACCCTGATCCTTTTCCACCCATTATACAGCTTAGCTGAAGCTGAAATTACAGCTCATACGCTGTTTAGTGTCACCAGAAAGTGACTTCAATACAGGAGCTGTGTCTCCCTGCCCCACGTGAAGTACCATACAGGTTAGGTGAAACCTGAGCAAACGCGCCTCCTCGCCATCCCATGTACCCACCTAACGCACCAGCAGACATTGATAACCTCACCTCGCTTATAAGAATATTTGTAACAATCCAAGTGTGAGACATGAAATCATTTCGGCCTGAAATCAAAATCAGCCCCGTGTTTTATTGATATAACCTGATAATTAACTTCGCATGCAGTCACTGAGGGCACTTTCAGAGTTAAGCCCAGTTCCGTGAAGCACTAGGTTCTCAATAAGGATCGCATTTGCAGCTGAGTTTCGGATGATGTAACCGTAAACCGAAACATATTTATCTCCTCCCTATGAAATCTTAGCTTAACTTTGTGTTTTTGTTTTTTTCTCCTAAAATAGTAAACATTTAAACAATCGTGTAACTTTTTTAAACTTTGTTGAAAATTATACGAGAATTAAATAAGTCAGAATTCCTCGTCACTCGAATGTGACAGGTGACCTCATAAGGGCTACCCTAGGAAAAGTTTACAGTGAAATTGTCACACGATGAAGCAAATCATTCAGCTAATGCCCAAGTCAACAACCATGGCGACTCAAGACGTGTCATTCATATTGAGGCTTTTTCTGCAGAACCAGCGTCCTATGCCGTGGGCTATTACCAGACCGGGCCGGCACAGGACGTCGCGGTGTTACTATGTTAAGATCCGTCAGAGGCACGAAATAATGGGCCACGCAAGCAGCCACGTCGGTATTTAGTTACAAAACACAGCCCCGGTGAGTGCAACGGACGCGGCCTACCTTGCTGCTGAAGTCCAGGTGATCCCCGGCCTCGCCGTTGAAGGTCTCGCCGTCCTCGAAGCTGTCCGCGCCGTGTACGTCATCGCCACATCCCCTGCCCGGCGCGAACATGCTAGCAGGGACCAGGGACTCCGCGGAGGGTGCTATCGGAGCCGGGCTTAAGTTCGGCTCTTTCGCTGCCACGGACGCCATCACCTCCGACCTTTAAACACGAGAAAAAAGGGACAGACTGTATGCAAGCTATCGGAATAACAGGACGGTTAATTCAACACACAACTCGCCTGACACTAATGTCAACTGAACAGCGTCCGGCGGTAGCAAGCCAGCAACCTAACTTGCTAGCTAACCGGTGCCTTCGTAAAAAATTCTACCTTTGTGTACACTTTCCTTTAAACAACTACTAATAAAACAGATGTTAAAAGATGTGAAAATTGATATAGATATGATCAATACCGGTTTACTGAGGACGGGTAACACCATACAAATCAGTATAAACGCCGCCGTTACCTTACTCATTCAGCGCTGCCTATTGGCTGACGTAACCAACACGCCCCTTAATTAATTATTCAAAAGATCCCATAGATCGCAAATAATATTTTGAATTTCCACGCCTCCTTTGGCGTAAAATATAAATATTTAAACCACACATGTCTACAATATCTCTACCCGATTTAGCGAATACTTATTCCCCATCGCTTTTTAAAGCAGTGCTTAGCGTCTGTTTTAGACCTTGGGCGTAAATGCTGTTTTCCATACATGTTAATTGTTAACTTCTACATGGATGTTAATGCATTCGTGGTACGTACGATCAGCATGCGCACTACATTTACCGAAAGTCGCAAACAACATTGTTTGTGTGGGCGTGATGACGTGGCATGCCGGACCGCCGCTGATGCAAGATCAGCTGCAACTATGCACATGCGCTGTAATGGTATTTAGGTTCGTTGGGTGACAGAACTAGGAAGAATGTGGAGAATTTACTAGCAACATATATACATGTTTAGCGTGATGAATAATGTTAAATTTACAAACACGTATAGTTTTTTTTTTATGTTTTCCGTAATATAATGGATTTCTTTTTCAATTTTCTTTGCTTTATATTGTTA